GCTCGAACAGATTCCATGGGGCGTTAGAGGCAAAATAGCGGTGAAAACTATATGAATGGATCACTGAAAAGGAAAGAAAATGCAAAACATATGTCATCTTTGTAATGGTTTTCGTTTCACTGAGCGTATGATATGTTGTCATCATCACCAATTTTTACTAAACAAACAAAATTGTTTGACATCACACAAGGTGCACACGTCATTTGGCGTTGCTTTGATGCATAAACTTCAAAGTGGTCAAAGATCTTTGAAGTTAAATTGCCGGCAATCGGGATACAATTACCCTGATGTGCCAGCATTATTTGCGATTAGCGTCCATCATGCTGTCTTTGTATAACAAGGGCAAGATGACATGTCTACACATAAACCCAGGGTCACAGGGAATGTCAACGTTAGAAGTGAGCGACAACATCATAAATTTCCTGACATATCCCTGGGCAATCATGTCTCTTTGACGGCAACTATAACAATCTGTTTCAGAAACACAGGCTTAAAATTTATGGATGAGAGTTATCGATTAGGACTGACAGACTTTCTATTCAGGCATCTATCATAGATCACAAATCTAACCTTTCATCTGACAGTTATTTATTTTGTCCAAAAGCGGAACTAAACCTTTTTTTCAATTTGCCCTGAGCCGAGTAACATTTAGATGAAATGGTTGATCCTGTATTCCCCCTGATAACAACGTATATACAATGTTGTGGTGCTTCCCACCATAACGCTATTACCACTCTAAAGAATCGTTTTCTTCGTGTAGTGTCAACAGTAAATCATATGTAGAGCAAACATGAAAACAAATATTTAGTTATGGAAGATTATGGTTATGAGTTGTAGAGATCGAGACATAATCATTTACTATCTGGGAATGTAATCATCCGATTACTTTTAGCTGTTTTCACTTACTGAGAGTTAAAGGATGTCGTCTCATGCTCCCTTACGTTCTTATTAATCACAAAGTGAGACACGCGTGCACACCCGAACGCAGGAACGTTGTGTCGGATAAGCACAAGATCTGCTTCTAAGCCGCTTCCGAGATTGTTCCTGTTTTTATAGACTTGTATTTCTCCAATTTGTTTTAGTCACCAGGTACACTGTGATATGTATCATCGAAAAGATATGGTATCTTCTATCACTCACTGTCAGTTTCACGCAGATCTAGTTAAGACTCAGATTTATGTAACTTACTTTCAAACTGCCAGACAAGCGTATCTCAAGACGTTGCCGTTGTCTATGGTGTTTACTTGGAACGCATTCCTGGCGTGTTCATCACCATATCACATGGTCTGTTCTTTGTCACTGCACAATAACTGAAAACTGAAAAAAAAAATAAAAATTATATCTATGCCTGTGAAGTTACACCTAATGTTTCCCGACAGCTACATACACATCGCATACCGATACACGTGTACTTATAGATCGTCGGCGTCGTCTGTGGTTCTAAACAAAGCTATTTGTGGAATGTAATCACACAATGGGTTTCAGGACTTAAGATAATGAGACTAGATAACGAGCTATTACGAACTGCAGATTATTGTACTGTGGGAATCAATAGTGTGTTAAAGAAAGGTACTTCGCTTGTCCTCATATCAGTGGTATATGTACGTCGTCTCTCCTCGGTGAATCAGCGTAAGTGTGACTCAAGGAAATGATCTTCGTCTGTCCTCGGTGGATCAGAGGAAGTGATCACCGTCTGTCCTCGGTGACTCAAAGTAAGTGATCTTCGTCTGTCCTCGGTGACTCAAAGCAAGTGATCTTCGTCTGTCCTCGGTGGATCAGAAGAAGTTATCTTCGTCTGTCCTTGGTGACTCAAAGTAAGTGATCTTCGTCTGTCCTCGGTGACTCAAAGCAAGTGATCTTCGTCTGGACTCGGTGGATCAGAGGAAGTGATCACCGTCTGTCCTCGGTGAGTCACAGGAAGTGATCTTCGTCTGTCCTCGGCGACTCAAAGCAAGTGATCTCCGTCTGTCCTCGGTGGATCAGAAGAAGTTATCTTCGTCTGACCTTGGTGACTCAAAGGAAGTGATCTTTGTCTGTCCTCGGTGACTCAAAGCAAGTGATCTTCGTCTTTCCTCGGTGACTCAAAGCAAATGATCTCCGTCTGTCCTCGGTGGATCAGAAGAAGTAATCTTCGTCTGTCCTTGGTGACTCAAAGGAAGTGATCTTCGTCTGTTCTCGGTGACTCAAAGGGGGTGATCTTTGTCTGTCCTCGGTGACTTAAAGCAAGTGATCTTCGTCTGTCCTCGGTGGATCAGAGGAAGTGATCTTCGTCTGACCTCGGTGATTCAAAGGAAGTGATCTTTGTCTGTCCTTGGTGACTCAGAGGAAGTGATCTTTGTCTGTCCTCGGTGATTCAAAGGAAGTGATCTTTGTCTGTCCTTGGTGACTCAGAGGAAGTGATCTTTGTATGTCCTTGGTGAATCAAACATGTGTCTGAACGCAACATCTGATCACAATGAAATGTCACATCATGCATGAACAGCACGTGGTGCACGTGCACGCAGAATCCAAAGTGTGTGCGCCTTTTGTGAATTCAAATTCACACGCATAAAAATGCCACCAAGACAGTATCTCAATGAACAGAGAAAAAGGAGAATTGTTGGTATGATAGAGAGGGGACTTCAATATTCTAAGTTGCTCGAATGTTTGGCAAATCAAAAAGTGTAATTCCTCGAATTATCGCCACTCTCAAAGAAGCGTGCTAATTGATCGACTATATACCAAGAGACACATAATTCTGTTTTTACTTGATCAGTTTTCGATAGCGAAAGTTCCTATTCCTGAATAAAATGAAAAGTGAGAGAAGGTGAAAGTTTAGCGCCACATTCAAGATATTGCACATTTATAGCGACGGGCATGCGCGCAAAATACTCACTCCGATCCGACCAGTCCTTGTTTTATCACTACAATACCAGGCAGGTATCAACACACTACCCCTTTAAAACATTTTTTAGTTGTTTACAAATTTGATGAGACCCACGAACACGATATTGGGTTGACACTCTGAGAATGAGAATCATGGGGAATCTGGCTTTCGAACCAACGGATTCTGGGACCTCCACGAGACGCAACTCTGCCCCTCCTCTCACAAAAACCCACACAAACACGCACATACACACACAAACACACGCACGGATACGCAAACACACGCACGCATACACACATACTTTGCTAAATGTATTATATCAGTCCTCTTTTATATGATAACCCAAGGATCCTCTGTTAATCATTCGTCACACACGTTAACATACAAGTGTGGCTCAAGACGCTGGATTTAATATAATTAAGGCCGTTAAACACGACGTCGTTTCTTTGTAATGGTAGAAACCCTATATGTAGTTTTTTTAGCTTTAGATGGAGCACGTGTCTTTGGATTTCAATGCTCATCCTTCACGAACGAGGCGCTTAGAAAATTATTCAACGCGTGTAACCCCCGCCGGAGACAGAAATGTACTTGAGAAAAACTCTTCAAATAAGTGTTTTAAGTCCATATCTAATAAACACCAAGTAATCATCTAGTCGACTTGTTTCTTCGGCGTCCGCAGCATCAAGTTCACATTTACCCAACGTCTTCCTGTAGCTAATTGCTGCTGTGCTGGACAGATCGGAACCTGACGGTGGTATGTGCCAAAGCGATCCCAAGTTGCTCGTTAGCGAGCTAACACTGAGAAATAAATTGTTGGCACGGCAGGTGCCTCTGATTTATCACTCAGCAACGCTTTTTGTTGCGGCTCTGATAAATACGTTATATGGTCTATTTTAGTCTCTTCTCGACACGTAAGCTTGATTTAGGTATCAGTAATGTTACGCAGCCCCACCTTAACCAGAAGTAAGACATGCATCTCTCACCTAAATGCATATGACCTAGTTTCAAGCAGTTCCTTATCTTTTTAGAAGTTACACGCGTCTTACATTTAATCATGATGAATATTCAATTACAATATGGTTATATGGAATCTCCTCTGACGGACATGGATGATGAACAGCCTGACTTTTGACAGTATCTCAAAATTGCGAGAAGATTTATGAAGATTACCCGAGTGTCGTAGTGTTTTCCTAGCACTGAATTACGTGTTAAGTGGAACATATAAAATCCATGACTTCAGTCTGTTTGGGAGGGCGTGGTAAGCTTCAAGGATCATAATAGGGGCGAACCCTCTGGGATCTGAATCCACAATCAGATTACCCTGGTGCACATACGAGAAGCAGCTCTTCACGGCGAAATGCGGTGACTTTGGCAATTGGGCTACTCGTGTCCCATGCTGTAATCAGAAGGGAACCAATAGTATGACTTCTTTCAGGCCTCTTCCTATCCAAATATCATTATACGTATTTTATTACCTTGTCATCGAGCGCTCATTCAATGCGCTGTTTAGTCCCAAAACGAGGCTTGCATTTTCGTTTCACTTTCAGCGTCACTGTCAATAATTGTAGTTATGTTACTGGTGTTGTGCGCAGAAGGGAATGCCATTATGACCTTATAATCTCACATGATGCTTTTAGTCTTCCAGTCATTTGGAACCGCGCAATGGCTTCCTTTAGCTTCGTACAGAAGCTGGAAAAAACATAATTCTATAGAAAATCCTTAGTTGCGCTTGGATCCAGTGAAATAAATGCATCTACTTCCTCACCAAGATTGTAATTCATAATAATTAGATAATATTTACAACTGAAATGTGTTTCAATATTTTTAGCTGCATAAGATATGACGGAAGGAGGTAGACTTATAAAATATTATTTCTTGGAAACAAAAGTGATGAGGGAGGAACACATTTCTATCTTTTTCAACCAAAAATGCCAACAAGCCAAACTGGACACTAACTGAGCTGGGCTATATTTCAATGTCAAGCTTGGATAACAATGTCTGCTTCATGTGACGCTGGAAACGTGAAAAATATTCTTCGTATAGGCAATAAATCTAACTGACGGATTCCAGAGACATGTTTCGCGTTTGTAGCCTCATCTGGTGCTCCTGACTCATCCTACTCATTTTCTTTCAGCATCCTCTTCAGTCCAGGAAGAATAAGCGTCTGTGCTGCCTGTGTTGCCGGTCGGGCCCTGTCAGTGCCGTTCTCGGCCTCCAACAGAAGAGCTATGTCCCCGGGGAGGCCATCATAATCACAGGGGAGGTCAACAACATGTCCTCCAGGAAGATGGGAGGCTCGTCGGTGGAACTGAAGATGGTGAGCTGATTCTTGATGTCCTTACTCCAATATCTTTAACTGGCATTTTGTTATCAAGACAGAGATGAAGAATGTCGACTTTATTCTTTCAATGCAACGTCGTGATATGAACTCTGTTTTAATCGTTATATTAAGAGGACGAGCCTCGTCCGATTGGCGGTCCTGGATACATAGCAATGTGTGCTAAGTTACATTTTATGATTTATTCCACTGAGTGAATGTGGGTTATTTAACGGAGTAGTCCAACTTATTACGGCAGCCTGTAAACACATCATTGGCTGAAAGCGAGAGCAACGTTCAGCCCAATCGGGGTCAAGTCTCAGCCTAAAGACCCCGCCCCTGTTACAGTCGACATGCGCCAAATGCGGTCTCCTGTAGACAGGGCTGCCTACGTAAAACAATGCCTGCGGGATAATGCCTCAGTTTGACATACGGTTTTAATGACAAAGTCTTGTCCAACTCTGGAAATGGGTGTTGTAGTCAAAGTATTGGTATGTCAAAAGCATGATCGCTGCTTTGTTTCCTCTTCTGATTAGTTGATTACATCGATTGTGACAATAAGCTGTTACACTATGTTGTTAAGTATGGAAACACCAGAACCGTTTGTTTCAAGCATGCTATGTCCACAGTGGTGTGTCGTTTATTGACAACCAACACACTCTCGTATTCAAACAATTGCCGTCCTTTCTCAGACAACAGTATTCCACTCCACCACCAAGACTCGAGCAGTCACCCAGCAGGTCGGGAAACTGAAGCGGGGACCAATCGCCACTGGGGACACAGACATATGGGACGGCGAGAAGCTGATCATCCCTCCCTTGCCACCATCCTTCCTCCTCGGCTGCAGCATCATCGACATCAAATACATCATCGAGGTGAGATAAGTAAAAATGCCACATTGTGCATAATAATTATATGTTAAGTCACCCAAGGCACCTCAGTTAGCTGTGCATAGTTGCAACCATTTGCATCCTACTAGTCTTTGGTTCGAAATCCAGATCCTGTTCCGTGCCCTGCTTGTTTTCTACCAAGATTTCAATTCCCTTTTTTGACTTGTACCACATGTCCCCGTGTCTTTTCAGGTGAACAATGGCATGTCTTTGCATGTGCTTGTGGCAGGTGCCACCGGTAGGGCGGGACACGCCCACCTTTTCGCGAACAACTGGTATAATCATTACTTGATAGTGATTCATCAACACATGCTCATGATTTAGTCGGAATCGTACAATGGACTCTATATATTACTATTTAATGGCTATATCTTATGATCACGGAAAGGGTTTTGTCCCTTTTATTTATTTTACCAAGGTGTCCGGCGTAACATCGCCCTACACCAATGTGAAATACTGCATGTGTTCAGTGAACAGTGTTATTTAATTCAGTACACTGTATTTTACTCTTGACTTGTATTTTTACAGTTACGTGTAGACCCCGTGGGACCAGCGTTTGACCTAGCGATACCAATAGAGATCCTCATTGGAACAATCCCAGTTCGTTCGGCCGTCCAAAAATATATCAGAAACAATCAGATCACTCCACCGGTCGATAGGCCTCCACAACCACCGCCGTCATGCCCCAATAATAACATAGGCTGGACCAACTCAGTGCTGAACCCTACGTATGGCCAATCGAGTCAAGGCCAGAGTCCTTCCTCCCCTGGTTACCCGTTCAGTCAACCCAGCACTCCTGGCATCGCCTTCAGCTACGCGCACCCTGGCTACGGCTTTCCTCCAAGTTCAGGATACAGTCAGCTCAATTCTCATGGTCAATTTCAAGGCCAAAGCTATGGACAGTCACAGGCGCAAGGCTTTGGCCATGGTCAAAACAGTGTTCAGGGTTATGGGCAAGGTCAAGGTCAAGGTCAAAACTATGGACCACCTCCGGGTCACGGCCAAGGCTATGCACAAAGTCGCCCGTACCTTCATCCTCAAGGGCAGCCGTCTCATCAGATGTACTCGCATGGTGCAGATGGACGATTGTCAAATGGTCCGTATCCTCAAGGAGCATCCGCCGATGCACAGGGAGATAGCACGTGGATGCGTAAGATATTTGTTTTATTAATGTTCTTGTTGCACTTTTATCTCTCAAAGAGACTCGGGGGAAAACTAATGTTCCAGTAAATGATACTCTACTTTACGCTACATTTAGACTATTCCACAGAGGATTGAAGCCATTCAGATCTCCATTCATGACATTCAGTGTAAAGTGAAACACGTCATTTGAATACACATGAAAACAGCGCAAACAGCAACATGGAATGGCCATTAGTGTTATATGTGATGTGTCGCTAACGTGTTTAGCTTTATAGTCTGTCATGTCCCAGAATCTGTTCGAATCCCCACATGGCAACGTTCTATGAAATCAAGTTTAGGTTTCCTAATGCTCCAATCCTCGTCAAAGCGGCGTTTTACCATACTCGACGACCCTCATTTCAGTAATTTGTACGTTGCAATAATAGTGTCTGCTATGTTTCAATCCCCGGCCCTATCACACCTGACGAATTTAAGATATGCTACGTATTACCATTCCGGGCACTCGAAAGTAAAGAGATAAAATAAGGACTGACTGGTCGACTCGGAGTCAGTATACTATATCTGAGTGGGGTATACAGGTTTCAACTGCGGTAGGGTATCTCAGTGGGGTAGCACGATAAAACCCAGGTTATTTCCGACTAAGACAAGCAGCCACACACAAACACCCACACACACACACACAGAAACTCACACAAAATTACCAATCTAGATTTATATAAAAGTAAGTCTAGCCAACTCCAGCCAGCTCTTTTCCACAACAGCATCAGGAAATTTAAATATTTTAATTATAGAGGAGAGAAATGTATTGTGTGATAATAGATTTCATTGTGTATATGTTAGTCTAGTTACTGGGGATTCAACCCTTTTCTACGTAGCATCGTATGGTTAAAAACATTTTATATATTTAGGTTTATATCGATCATGTCACGTAATGTTTCAGCCACACCCATGCTCTCGGAGTACTTCTTCGGCCAGCGTTACGTGCGGGACGACGACGACGACGAGTTTACGCAAGGAGACATGTACTACACACCGCTGTACGTGCTCTACGACTTCGAGAAGCCAAAAGAGAAACCGACGCGGACTGTGAGAATCGCATCGTAACAGCGAATGGAATGTTAAAAGACACTGGGAGAACCGCAATACAACGGTGAATGAGATGCAGAAAGGCACTGTAAGAATTGCAATATAACGCTGAATGAGCTTATAAAAGCACTTTACAAATCACGCTGACACGGAAAACAAGATACGGAAACGCAGTGACTAAACCGTATCGTAACAGCGAACAAAAAATGGACACGTGCTGTCAGATTCGAATCCAAACTGCGAATAAGTGCACATTTTTCTTTTAAATCGCATCCTCTGTGCGAATGCGAAATATACACGTGCCTTCTCAATCGCATCGTACTAGCGTAAAAGAAGCGCACACGCGTCTTTGCAAGGTATCCAGACAGAAGTGGACACGTGCTGTTCGGACCGCACTATAACGCGGATACGCACAGTTAGAATCGCATCTTAATAGGGTATACGACGTTGACACGTAGGGGACGCATCACGAATGAAAACCGGCACGGGTTGTCAAGGGACGTTGTCTAACGGTCACTGTATACACATGCAGACCCAGGTGTTCACAAAAGGGTGTGGGACGCCCATAATGTCAAAGCCCCGAAGGGTGACGTGGCCGATGCCGAGGACGCAGTTAACATGAACGCACCTCCAACACCACCACAACCACTCCTGGGGATCCGGCAGTGTCTGGGGATTCGCATTCGGGGATTGAAAGTGGATACTGGCTAATCTAATCCATGACGTGACAGGAGCCAATATTCTCAGCTGTCCACAGTGATGATGACGGGTAAATTCACGTTTAATTATTCATCTTCGAATAACCCTGCCTATATGTGATGCTTGTGTTGGTCCAATTTATGTGTATAAGAGTGAATAAAAGATGTTGAAGAATAAAAAGTTGTTGAAACGCAATGTCCTTTAGTGTAATATATAGGTGATATACGACCCAAGAGGAACAAGCAAAACACCTGCATCGTCAAGTAGTGATAGCAGCAGGCTTTTTAACAAGGTGTCTTGGGTTCGAATCCAAACGCATTGTGGTTATATAAAAAAAGTGGCTACAGATTCAAAGGATACATTAGTATACGGTAGAAAAAACACAACATGATGTCAAACATTCATGAAATCAGATTTTATTTGTAGTCGGATCTGTAAATAATATTTCTCCGAAATATTCGTTGTAGAATACAAACGTGTTATTCCGCGCGATTATATCAATGGATATTTCTGTACTTCATGTGAACATTTGTTATTTCTTTCCAATATGTACTGAATTTACATGATAATGCCAAAATTGTTTTACATGATTATATATTTTGTCATATTTGTAATTGTACCGTGTAAATCACTGTAGGCACCTGGGAACACTCGGTCAAAGCATGATTAAACACCTTATTGGTGAATATTTTGTGAAAGGTCCGGCGTTATGGTTGTTTGTACTTGACCCTCACGCTTCGCAACTTCCGGTTTGAAAGTGAGGCTTGGAATGCACAATGTGATGGCTGGATAGAACATCGGAAACATCGCGATTTCAATGCGGCACACAATTGGGGCAAACGGTGACAATCAAATCCGATCCACACAGTTCTGCGATCGATACTGGAGTGTCTGGATCACAGCTTGCTCCTGGTAGTGTGAAACGTCATCCACAGCAGAAATGACGTCATATTATTTGTGTAAAGCTTGCCAGACAGTTCTATCTTCAAGTTTGGGAAGACTTGGAAATCAGTACGCTGTCAAACAAAGCTGTGAATACAGAGGTTGTTCAATGAGTTCAAAGCTAGTTTCACGTATTGCAGCCACGCCGACAACGGACTTGTGCACAGGTGTATTGTCTTGGTGGGAAAAACACTGTGAAATTTAGCGAGATTTCCCACGGCGTTTAGCCTTGATTCCTTTGATTTCCCCAGAGAACCGAAGCCATCACCTTGCTGATGGAAAAGACTTTACCTTCTTCTTCGGAGGAGACGTTAGATGTCTCCACTGCTTTTACTGTTATTTAGTATCTAGTTCATGGAAGTGAGCGCACGATTTGTCGAGGGTTACAAATAGCTGGGAAAAATCACTTAGATCTGCTTCAAACTGAGGTACGTTCTCACGAGAGATGATCTATCACAACTGATGATCTATCACACACGCAAGAGCTCATCTATCACACACAACTGATGAGCTATCACCCACAACTAAGGATATATCACACAACTGATGATCTATCACACACAACTGATGATCTAGCACACATAACTGATGATCTATCACACAACTGATGATCTATCACACACAACTGATGATCTATCACACACAACCGATGAGCTATCACACACAAATGATGATCTCACACAAAACTGATGATTTATCACACACAGCTGAGGATCTATCACACACAACTGATGAGCTATCAAACACAACTGATGATCTCAAACAAAAGTGATGATTTATCACACACAACTGAGGATCTATCACACACAACTGAGGATCTATCACACAACTGATGATCCATAACACATAACTGAGGATCTCAAACACAACTGAGGATCTATCACACACAACTGAGGATCTATCACACACAACTGATCTATCACATAACAGAAATATCTATCACACATAATTGAGGATCTATCACACACAAGTTAGGATCTATCCCACACAACTGATGGTCTATCACACAACACCGATGATCTATCACACACAACTGATGATCTATCACATAACTGATGATCTATCACACACAACTGATGATCTATTACACACAACGGAGGATCTATCACACACAACTGAGGATCTATCACACACGAGAGCTGATCTATCACACACAACCGATGATCTATCACACACAACTGAGGATCTATCACACACAACTTAGGATCTATCACATAACAAAATATCTATAACACACAACTGAGGATCTATCACACACAATCCATGATCTATCACACACAACGGATGATCTATCACACGAAACTGATCTATCACACACAACTGATGAGCTATCACACACAACTGATGAGCTATCACACACAACTGAGGATCTAACACATTACAGTATATCTATAACACATAATTGAGGATCTATCACACACAACTGATAATCTATCACACACAACTGATGATCTATCACACACAAGAGCTGATCTATCACACACAACTGAGGATCTATCACACACAACCGATGATCTATCACACACAACGGATGATCTTTCACACGAAACTGATGATCTATCACACACAACTGAGGATCTATCACACACAAGAGCTGATCTATCACACACAACTGAGGATCTATCACACACAACTGAGGATCTATCACATAACAGTATATCTGTAACACATAACTATGGATCTATCCCACACAACTGATGATTTATCACACACAACCGATGATCTATCACACACAACTGAGGATCTATCACACACAACTGAGGATCTATCACACAAAACTGATGATCTATCACACACAACGGATGATCTATCACACACAGCGGGGATTTTGTTTGTTTGTTTGTTTGGTTGTTTAACGCCGCACTCAGCAATATTCCAGCAACATGACGGCGGTCTGTAAATAATTGCTTCTGGACCAGACAATCCAGTGAATTAAATCATTAGCATCGATCTACGCAATTGGGATCGATGACATGCATCAACCAAGTCAGCGAGTCTGACCATCCGATCCCGTTAGTCGCTTCTTACGACAAGCATAGTTGCCTTTCGCGGCAAGCATGGGTTGCTGAAGACCTATTCTATCCCGGATCTTCACAACGGATGATCTAGGACACACAACGGATGATCTATCGCACACAACCGATGATCTTTCACACACAACGGATGATCTATCACACACAACTGAGGATATATCACACACAACTGAGGATCTATCACACACAACTGAGGATCTATCACATAACAGTATATCTATAACACATAACTGATAATCTATCACACGAAACTGATGATCTATCACACACAACTGATGATCTATCACACACACCTGATCTTCCACATAACAGTATATCTTTAACACATAACTGAGGATCTATCACACACAACTGATGATCTATCACACACAACCGATGATCTATCACACACAACTGATGATCTATCACACAGAAACTGATGATCTATCACACACACCGGATGATCTATCACACACAACTGAGGATCTATCACACACAACTGAGGATCTATCACACACAGCGGATGATCTATCACACACAACGGATGATCTATAACACACAACTAATGATTTATCACATAACAGAATATCTATCACAAACAACTGATATATCGCACACAATTGATTACCTCCTTGGTCTAGTGGATAGAGTGTCTTCCCGAAGAGCGGAAGGTCGGTGGTCCGATCCAGGGGCCGTCTCATGTCGCTAACAAGGTACTTGTGTTTACTCTGCCTGGCGCTCAGCATGAAGGGGATGTGACAAGGACCGGTCGGTTCGGAGTCAGTATACTGTGTCTGCGTAGGCTCTCCACACTTCACTCTCCACTTATGATGCTGACAAGTTTTAAGGATCAGACAGTGGTCTCCCCTAAATACATAATCCGTTGGATGTGCCCTAAAAATCTCAATACACACAATCGATAGGTTTCTGACAATCACCATCTTATATTGAAGTAATTAGTTTCAGTTTTCCGAACGGTTATGTCTATGTTTGACTAGTAATCGTTTTTGTAATATAGTGCGTAAGTAAAAAATTCAGTACCTCGACAAACAGCAAGAACACGACAGGAAACACTGTGAAATATTTTAAATGTAGAGTTGTTTATCAGATGAAGCGACCATAAAATCATATACCAATCCTCAACGGGAAGATCATCAATGCCTGTATGCTGTACGGATTTACTTCACTGTCTAAAACAAACAGATTTCAGTTGGAACTATCAGAGACCATATATCGGTATATGGTCTCTGGAACTATATTGACTGTTGTCACAGTCCGACTGACAAGCAACTGACCTCCTGACGTCATATGTTAATGCGCACAATCAAGGAAAACTTGAAATATTTACGAATCGTTTTGTGAGTAATCAGAATAGATGATATAATTTATTAATTACATTATATATGATAAAGAGGTTATCACGCGAGTGTGAGTTTGAATGGTAAAAATATCCTGCATAACTAGAATTTACTCAGGAACATATGACTATCCCTCCTTTTTTGATACATTAGTACAAGTTGTTACTGTAAATGTGTTTGCAAATCCGATAACAATCATATCTAATTGTGACCTATAAAGATAATGGTTTCCTGCTGAAATATTCGTTAATTGTAGAGTTTTGGCGGGAAACAAACGCTACTTGTTTGAGACATAGTCCAAATTGTTACCATCGAAACACAACAAATTGAAAAATATGGAAAGGTAATAGTTCATCACATTGCCATTGTACATGTATAGTTCCATGCAAAATTATTCATTAGCACGAGAGTTATGGCTCTCAAACAAATCCTGTAGTTGTGTGAGAGTAAGTCCAAATTGTTTCCATGGAATCGTAACAAAACAAAATCAGAAAAATTTCAAAATAGCAAAAGGCACCAGTGAAGGTGATGAGTTATGCATATCCCAAATTTCGTTGAATTATGTTTAACAGTTTTCAGGATATGTCCCGAAAACGAGCCCTACCCTCGTTTGAGACTCGAAATTGGTACCATGGAAACACACACAAAATAAAATTTTGAAAAAAACACCAAGGCTCGCTAAGACACGCCATTAAATACAATGTTTATTCCCAATAAAGAACAGTTACCGTCTTAAAACAAGTGATAACTTCTAAAATAAACGTGTCGAAACACACGAAATGATGTTTTATGTAAGGTTTTGGAACGGTGTTGCATGGTCATGCAAACTAAGTCATACAGCGCTATCTTAAAACCTGGTCATCACATCAAGTCGGTGTTTTAAGGTTAAAGAGAAGTACAGCAGTTTAAGGCAATATACGACTTACTAGTCGGAACCTGGTCCATCTGAATCAATTATTGCTCGGGTGTGACAGACTAAACGCTTATATCGCGCTATGCCATTTATCATCATCAAGAAGAAGGCAACACGTCGTTCATCTATGTACCTTGTGATGGTGACCGTAGATGTACTTGTAGATGCATCGCTCTCCTGTAAAAGGGCACTGTAAACCATCGTAGACCTCGCTGACGACCGGGGTCTGTTTTTTGGTTGGTTTCTTTTGTTGTTAACGCCCCACTCAGCAGTATTCCAGCCATATGACGGCGGTCTGTAAATAATCGAATCTGGACGAGCGAACCAGTGATTGACATCATGAACATCGATCTACGCAAATGGGATACGATGACTTGCATCAACCAAGACAGCGAGCTCGACCACCAGATACCGTTAGTCGTCTCTTACCACAAGTATGGGTTGCTGAAGACCAGTTCTAATCCGGATCTTCG